CAAAATACTAGTTTTTAAAATATATTTGTTAAGATAATTTTAATAAAAGAAAATATAACTAGCATAATGAATTAATTTAAGGTTTTAATATATTTTTAGTCCTGTAAAATTGAAAATTTTCATGTTAAATTTTTTTTATATGTTAAATATGTTTTATGCTAATATTTGAGTTGTTTATACTTTTAGACACATTTTTATTTTAATATAAGCTGAAAATTGTGTTTGATATGTTAAAAAAAATTAATGTAATTGAGTTAAAAATACATGTCAATTGTTTTTAAAGTTTGAAAAAAAAAAATCAAAATTTTGGATATAAATGAATTAAATTTTTGTATCAAAACTCAATACATACAGACATATTTAACCAGATAATAATAGTACTTTCACATGTGATAGGATATAAAAGGGAAAAAGGAAACACATTTTGTTATTTTTATTTAGTAAGCAAAAATTAGACAGGGAGAGATTGGTTTATTTAAAATTACCTTTTAACCATTCTTCAATAAATCAAAAAAGTGAAAATAAGTTCTTAAAATAATAATTTCTTATTCTTTTAGTTATGTATAGGAAAATAAGTTATACACTATTAAGAAGAAGAGATAAATTGGTATTTTAAAAAGTTCATATGATTAAAAAGTTCATAGATTATTTTTTTGTATGTTTCTATTAAGAAAATATAGAATAGAAAAAAAAAATACAAACAAAAATGTTTTTTAACCCTAAATTTTGAATTGAAATTAGAATTTTTATTTCTTTAAAACTTTGATGAATTTTTGTTTTCAAATTTTAAAAATAAATAAATATAATTCTTCTACTTCAATTAATTATATTAAATTGTTAACAAGTTTGATATTAATATTTAAATTATTTACTTCGACTTACCTATTTCAATTTTAATACCGATTAGAAAACACTTTTGACATGTCATACAAATTTAATATAATTAGATTAAAAAAATTATATTCATTTATTTTTTAAAATTTTAAAAATCAATTAATTTCAATTTTAGAAAAAAATAGATATTATAAACACAGTTAATCCTATAAAAAAACTCGAAAGTAAAGTAATGATTAGATTGTTTCACTTACTTAATATTGGATTACAACCATATTTTACATTAAAAATGTTAATTATTCGTATATATATACATACACACACATATATATATATATATATATATATATATATATATATATATATATATATATATATATATATAAAATATATGTAAAAACTTATGACTACAACATCATGTAAAATTATATTACATAAACTCTCTAAATCTAAATGTAAAAAAAAAACTCAATATAGTTAAAAAAGCAAATTATTAAAGAAGGACAGCATTTGTATTAATGATTACTAAAAGAAAAAGAAATTATATAATATTTTTCACCAAACATTTATCAGGAATTGTCTTTTTTAGAGTTTTTGAAAGTGAAAACATGTTTGTAATTGTTCTGATTGATTATATTTTAAATATATAAGAAATCCTTTTATTCAAATTAATTTTTAATAAATCTAATAGATTATTGTGAGATGTAATTGATTATATTATAAAACATAATTGATTGTGTCGCAAATCATAATTAACTATATTGTGTTTAGCAGATTATGAAAATAAAAGAACAATCTAATTAATTATTTGAGTGTGATAATCAATTATTAGTAAACATTTATATTTGAATTTAGAGGATCAATTAATACTTCGTAAATATTTATATTTAATAATTCTCACTAATTTTTGAAAATGTGCGATTACTGGTATTTGTTAAAAGGTAAGTTTTGAATTGATAAAATAGATTATATTTTCTAATTAGTAAATTACCATTTTATCCCCAATTGAATACCCAATAACTATTTTTTCTCTCTATTCCACACAGTGAAACTTCAATAATAATAAAGGTTAAGAACGTGGCTGAAATAGCCTCCAATTACTATTATTTTATTCACAAATTAGAATTTTGTGAATATTATTGTTTTGATGGATTTGTTTTCACCGACTGAGGCCCAAAGAAGAACAGCTTTTGTCGAGGCCCAGTAGGATGTCTTTGATTTGGGAGCCCATTGATCAATTATTTATGAAATGTTTCTCAATTAATGTTTGCGTGACAGTGACTTTTCTAGTATTATATTCAACCAATTAAAAATTGTTTTTAATATAGTTATTATTTAAATAAATAAATTGAGTTGTATGACAATATATCATCACAGAAGAGTACAAAGCAAATAAAAACCCTATACATGCAAAAAGTTATTTTTATTTTTTTAAGCAACGAGTTATATACTTAAAAAAAATCATAAACGGCAGGGGCTTCTATAATACCGTTTATCAGTAAAATGAAAATTCAACATTCTATGGTGATAGATTCATGCCCTTTAATATATTTCAAATAGTTAAAATAAATAATATTAACATTGTTAATAATAAATAGACCGATCCGTTGGAACACAAAAATAATAGTGACAAAGAATAGTAAATCACAAACAGAAAGAATAAAAACTTAGTCAAAGTAACATTTTATTATGAGAGAAACATTTAAAAAGTGATAAATATGTTTTCTTTTAATCTTAAGATATAATACTATTTAATTTGAATTTTAATTTCTATTATTTAAAGAATGCATCATCACATAAGTGAGAAGCAATACAATAATACTTCATTGTTGAGGAAAACAAAACATCTTCATAATATTCCGGATCTAACTTTGAACCATAGAATGAATAAATAATAATAATAATTTACAGAAAAAAAAAACAATGAAGAGATGATGTTATTGACAATGACTTTTTGCCATGTATGATAGTTTATTGAAGTTAAAAGTGGATTGAACCTATGCTATGATGTTCCTTTCACTTGGATGTGTGATTGGTGGCTGGAGGTTTTGTGAAAAGGTTTATCACTTCTTTCTTATCATCACAAAAATGGGTATATGAATTTGAGTTCATGAATTTGTGTAAATATGATTTTTTTTTGTTTAATTTCGGGACTTAAATGTGTTAGATTGTGGATTAATTACATTTTTTCCTTTTCAAACATGGTCTATCATTTATACTTTTGTTTACTTGATTTTTTTTATGATTTATAATTTGTTGATTTAAGAAGTTAGAGTTATTGTACTTTTTATGCTTTTATTTAAAGCTTGAGTGAGGTAAATGGAGTTTTGTTTTAGATTTTAATCATTTATTTTTATTTATCAATATATCTTTTCGAAATTTTAAATTGTATAAATATAGATAAAAAATATATAAACAATTGAATGGTTTTATAAGGACTGTTTTTTTGTGTATTGATATTTTTTTCAAAGCAATGTATTACATTCAAAAATAAAATTCGAATCTAAAATTATAAAAACTCTTTAACAACAAAACATTATTTTAACATGAAACCATGAATATAAATTCTAAACCAAAGAAAGTTACTGTTATAAGGAACTTCTTTTAGTTTTTAAAATTTTTATAATGGTAGAATATACGTTACAATAACATTTTTTATTAATTATGAAATCTTGTAAGAAACTCGTTAGAGATACTCTAGTTCAAAATGAAACCTTTATGTTGCAAAATTGTTTGTCTGTAATTGAAACAGAATTTAAATGATAGAATATTTTCCTCTGAATGTTGATTGCTTGTTTGATAAAAAATTGCAATACACTATGATGCAACACTGAGATCAAAGATTATTAGCAGCACAGTAGTCACATCTACATTTTGAATGTGAATTCTAGTGTTCATAACAAAAAAATCCAGGAATGAAAAAAATGGACAAAGACATGAATAAAAAGCACATATGACAGGGAAATTGAACTAGAAGATTATTTGCATTTTGTTGTTCACCCCTTTTATCTTTTACCATCTTTCTCGATCTTTTGTATGAAATTTTTAAGGCATAAAGAGCGTAACCATTATCTCCTGCAGAAACCATGACAATCAGTGTCTTACAAGAGAAATCGTGGATTGTGAAAAACTTGCATATACAGAAAATGCTACACCATTCACAGAAAGCTCAAGTTTCATTCACCATCTCAGACCCTCAAGAACACTACTTCCCCACCGAAACTGTGTGCAACTATTTCTTCCGTTTCACCTATGTGAGATAGGACCGTTTTTTATACTCAATATTGTAATCTTTATCAAACATTTTCACATCTAAATTGTACATCTCCCTAACCATTTATCGAACAATTTTCCTTCATTTTACCAGTTCATCAAAGCTGAACCTAACTAGAATAAATATTTTCTGACTTCTTTCTCGTAACATTAAACAGTCAACACTTAAAGATACATATTAAAATATCATATAGCTGAAGAACTCCATAAATGTTGTCGGTTCAGTCCCCAAAAAACTTCAGCTTAGATGTAGTAAAGGATAACTGAATCTGACCTTTACTGTGGCCAACAATAGCTGTAATTAAACATTTATGCTCGCGGAAGTATTGAACAACAGCTCCCGAGTCCTCAACCTCTGTAGTGGTTACCATACTGAAATGAAACTTCACTTTTCCTAGAAGACAACGACATGAGCTGTCAGCAAAAGTAATTACACTTCAAGAATTTTTTGTCTTTTAGTATTAGAACAATATGTACATAATATATACCCTATGGTCACCAGCAAAGTAGAATTACTTTCACATTCGTGCTTATGATAGACTGATTCCTTCTGAATATGACTCCATATGTTTCGGTCTTAGTTTATTTTAGAAAAATAAAGCTATGAATGGAAGAAAATGTATCGTTTGGGTTATAGGAGATAAAAACAGTATTATGGCAAAGTGCATTATGTGCTACTATTTGGTGTATACGGTTGTGGGAAACACTTGATTCTTTAAGGAGGTTTCTGTGACGCACAAACTGATTTGTGGGATAAGGTTAGGCATATTCTGAAGCATGTGACCTATTTAAGACGATTTCTCCAACATATTATTTACAGAGAATGGAGAGAAACTTTGTATCACTACTAAGAAATTCTCCTGAAAAGACAGGAGAATTAAACAAGCAGGAAATGACATTCAGAAAATTTAACATAGAGTACATTACTTGCTCCAAATGACAATGAATTCCAAGGCATAACACAGATGGTTATGTAGTAATAGAGAGATCATCGGGCACATAATGAAATAAAACTGCCAAAGACCAAAGCAAAATAAATAAATAAATAAACAGTGTTTACATCTCATTCTCAAGCATGAAGTGCTGAACATAACAAGAATGAGTACTATACTTAACCACGCATGACCAGTATCAGTCGTTTCTTTCTTAACGATTTCCAAAATGAGATTAGCCAAACCCGCTACCAAGACAACGAGTATCCGAAGCATCTAACCAATTTGCAAATCAATTATTCTCTTTTTAGATCCAAGGATTACCCACCAAACAAAATATAAATACAGTTTACCAAGTTCTTTTAGCACTGTTCTCCAATCAAAAATTGAAATTCTATTTCAGCAATCTATGCCAAACGTTAACGGAAACCATTGTTACGCAGATTACCAAAGTAAAACCCCAATTCTGAAGAGAAAACAACTCCAGAAGCCTCTATGAAACTGTATCGAAGCACCTTCATCAACCAAACCATCAGCGACAGCAAAATCACACGAAGCTCCGCTGAAGTCGTCCCCATTCATCCATGGGTGTTAACAGCCTCCCAAACCAAATTCTTGGGAGCCGGCCCAGATCCATCCCTGGCCTGCAACGCCGCGTTTCGCAGTGTCTGAATAGTGAGCACATTGGCCTTCCAAAAGGACACACAATTGTAGGGAAGGTTATGCTTCTTGCACAGATCCTTAACCAAAGGCGCGATCTTCCTCAGATGGCAGCGCGGCAGCCGGGGAAACAAATGGTGCTCCACCTGAAACTGCAGGCCACCGTGAAACCAGTCCATCCAAGCAGAACAGCTGACATCAAGAGTCCCATTAGTCTGCTTCTCAAACCAATCACCACCACTTGGAGGACCAAGGTAAACTTTGGAAGAGAAATGGTTTAAGCAAAACTGCACATGCTGAATACCCGTCACAGAAAAGCTTACCACAACGAACAAAACCCTCTCCCACCAATTTGGCAAAAAAGAGACCAATAAAGGGTACCAAACCCAAAACGCAAGCAACCCTAAAAGCTCAATTCCTCTGCTCTCCACTTTTCTGTTCGACAACAAAAGGAAAAAAGACTGAGCAAAAAGGTTAACCCTGGCGAAGCACATGACGGGGTAGTAAGTCCAATGCTGATAACTGACCAAAAACCTAGCGAGGGAATCGAAATTGAGCTTTCTATCGTAAAATTGGGAAGTCAGAGAGTTGAAAAACTTAGACGAGACCACGAAGAAGGGTAGGTGCTGAAGATCGGGGTCGAAGTCGAGGCTGTTGCACGCAATGTGGTGCGCGTTGTGGTTCCACTTCCACCAGGCAATGCTGATTCCGGCGAGAACGTTGCCGGAAAGGATCTGAGCTACGCGGTTAAAGCGGCGATTGAGCATGACGTTGTAGTGACCGGAGTCATGGCCAATCCAGCCGCTCTGAATCCAGAGGAAGCCGATCAAGGCGCCGGAGAGCAAGTGCACGAACGTGCTGTCGGAGAAGACGACGCCGCAGACGCAGAGAGGGAGGAGGGTGAGGATGAGGGAGAGCAAGATGAGGGTGGTGTGGCCCTTGCGTTCGAAGAGGTTGAGTTCGGAGAGCTTGGAGTGGAGCTTCCGGTAGTCGGAGGAGGCGGCAGAGACGGCGTAGTCAGAGAGGAGGTGGCTAGTGGAAAATGCGGGGAGGAGGGCGGCGGCGGAGGAGGGCGGGTGGAAGGCGAGGAAGGCGTCAGTGGCGTCTGTGCCGGCAACGGTGAGAAGCGGGAGGGCGCCGCCGGGATGGCGGTGGAGCCAGGAGGAGACGTCGTAGATTTTGCCATGGATTGAGATCCACGCGTCGTTGCGCGTGTTGTGTTTGCGGAGTTCGGAGGAGGAAATGTAGGTTGCGGGAGGGTCCATGGTGTGAGAGCAGAGTGAATGAGTGAAGAGAAGAGAGTGTTCGGTTTTTGTAACAGTTTCTTCTTCGTCCTGTCCCGGCAAGGAAAGTGCGCACTATCTTTTATTCAATTGAAATTTTCCCTAACGTAACGTAACCATTTTCTTTCTCAATTTTTTTTTAAAAAAAGTATTTAATATAATTTTCAATCTTAAACATTTTTGTATGTTTAATTAAGTAGACAAGAATTTTGTATTTTTCATATCAGTTAAAATAATTGTTGAAACAGTGTTGTAATTTTAGAGGAGTAAAGTAATTATTGTTTATTATTTTTTGAAAAATTCTTAGTGCACCTCATTACAAGAATCAAAAGATGTTTTTATTTCAAAAAATATATACTAAATAAGCAATTTTAGTCTCTAAGCAATGAAATTTTATGGCTAACAATACCTTAAACAACAATTAATGCAGACAGAAAAACCTTTGGCTTTAATAAATTTTATACGTTAAGTTATTCACAAATTATAATTAACTATTTCATAAATAATAATTTTATTATCATTATAGTAATGAAATGACTATAGTAATTTTATCCCTTATAAAAAAAATACATATATATCCACTTTTGAAGGAAAAAGATTGAATTAGGCAAAGAGTTAAGAGTTCAATAATTTGAAAAAAATAAATAATAATTGAATGTATAGTTAATGATATTTTCCATCATATCCTCTCTCACGAATCTTCCTTTTTCTTGTCTTATTTTATTAAGAGTTTTAGGAAAGATATTAAATTATTTTGTTCTCTTTTGTTTGTTATTTTACAGAATTGAATATTTTTCTAGTTTAAAAGAGAATGATAAATAAAATATAATTAGAGTGCTACTAGGATACAAGATACGAGACACATTTTCAACAGGGAATAAGTGTTTTAAAATCTAAAATATTAATTGTGTTTTTAGTTCTGTATTAAAACATTAAACGCCAAATATAATTGAATGAAAAGAACAAATGATGAAAATACATTTATTTAATAGTTTTGAGATATAAAAGACTTTACATATTTATCATATAGTTTTATTGTGTAGAGAGAGATATGATTTAAATATGTAATAAAATTTATTAAGACTTAATTAATAATTTAATTTTTTAATTTTTTATATATTTTTTATTGAATTGAATTCTAATTCTTTTAAAAAGAATTTAGTCGATTCTCAATTTTTTTAAGAAAAAATTAATCGTTTATTTCATTAAATTAACAATAATGATGTTTACAATTATCGTGTATCAAAATCGAAGTATATTTAAACGTTTTAAAATATGAGTAATTTTCTATTTGGAAGATTTCACATGTAAAAATTAAAGAATATTCAAATAAAAACTAAAATAAATAAAAATTTAAACATTTATACTAAATTACTAATTAAGTTAATTATTTTTTTAAAAATTGTTGTAGGATAATTTCGTATCATAAATTATAAGCATTTATTTTCCTATCACAATGAATTAAAAAAAAAATATGAGAATACAAATTATTGTATAAATAATTAAATACTTTTTTAGCTTAGATGATTATGTGATACGCTAAAAATGGAAGAACCAAACTAGTTACTGTTTATAAAAGTCAACCAAAATAAATTTACCTAAAGAAAGAATTAATTAATTATATTAGTTTTATTTAGTAAACAAATAGTTTGCATAATTTTTCTTTAACTGGGGAGTTTTTAAATTTTTTTCCCTTAATGATAAAAAATATTTTTTTTTTATTTATAATTTTACTTTCACATAATCTTATATTAATTCATATATGTGTAAATGATGTACAAATTAAAAGAGAAATGTTGTTTTAGTTGAAAATTTTCACTTTGAACAGAAACCTCACTTAAAACACTTATAAAATTAATATAATAAAATAAATGCTATAAGTTTTATTTAGACATACTCAATACATTTTGGAGAAGCTTAAAGAAGTGAAATATATCTAAAAATTGTTCATGATCATGTCGAACTGATTCTAATTTAATTTGGATAAATCAAATTCTTTATAGATAGATAATGTAATAATTAAAAAGCAATATTTTATTACATTTTTTAATTTAAAGAATAATTGAAGAAATTGCATTGGATGTGTGGTGAGTGATAGATAGATGATGAATGGTGGAGACCCATTCGATAAGGACGTGTTTGGCAGAATGGGCTCTCTGCAGCTAAGAAAAATATTCTCTTCTCCAAAATCACACTCAGTCACGCCACAAATTAACACAACAAAATCAATACTTTTACACTTTATCATGTATTTTGCAATAAATAGGTCAATAAAAGCAAATTACATATATATTAATGGACAATAATAGAAATTCAAGTGTAATAGTGTTCTTATTATCTTAAAAATTTAAATTAAAAATATATTCACTACTAAAAATATTTATAAATAAAATTTATTACGAGTAGTAAATGGATATATTAAATAAAAACACTTTGTTGTCATATTTATTTATAGTTCATTGAATTAAACACGTCAAATTATATTAACTATAATAATTCGTTAAACTTTTAAATAATTTGTTTTAAAAATCAGATTACAAATTTTTATTCGTTATATCATGTTCATAAAATATCATATTAATCAAAATAAACATTTAAAGATGTCAACTTTTATTAACTACAATAATTCATTAAACTTTTAAATAGCTTGTTTTAAATTGTATATCATAAATTTTGCTTATTTGAACCACCCACGATTATCTTAGAAACTAAAAGCACTGACAAGAAAAGAAAAGTAAAAATAGAATAGCAAAAAGAAGAATAAAAACAAAAAAGTATTATGTGTCGTTTTAAATTTAGATTAAATAACAAAACCCAAGATTATGACAGACAATAATAAAATGTACATAGTACACAAACTACAACTGTCAAAGGAGAAAACCATTAGCTGTAATAACAGGCTGTCCACTCAAAAATTATAATTTTTCACTGTCATATGAGCAATTAAACTATAATTTATTCAAGAAAAAAGAAAAAATGAATCTTTCATGATAAAGTCATAATTTTTTAAGGTTAAAACTCTGGATTTCCAAATCATGAGTTAATTTTACACACGTGAAGGAGTTTAAAAAGTTTTAAGGTTGGGATGCTAGAAGGCAAAGTCGATTTCAGATTTTTTTTATTGAATTTTTAATATTGTTTATCTATTGAATCTTTAAAATATATTAATGTTTGTGTATTATTTTTTAATATGTTTTAAAACATTAAAATTAGTGTTTATTAATGTATTTTGAAAGCATGACAAAGAAATAATACCAAAAATTTCACAGAGAATCCAAATTCAATAGAATCTATTTAATATTATATTTTTCTGTGTATATTAAAAAAATAAAAATATGAAAAATAATATTTTTTAAAGTTAGAAAAGGAAAAATTTAACAATGAATGAAAGATTAATATTGTAAGAATTGAAGAAGGGTTGATTAGGTTTGAAAGGTGTAGCTAAGAAGTTTGTTGAGTTGCAAAGGTAGCCCCAAAAAGGTGAATGATGAATGATGCAATGAATGAGTGAAGTATAGTATCCAACAAAACCTTTCAGAATATGCCACATGCAGATGCTTCTCTCCACCCAAAAATATCTTCATACATAATATGTCACACCTTCATTGGATGCTTTTTGTTTTCTTTTGTTTTCTTCTTCCTATCACTTTCCCTCCATGGAAGCCCAACAACATAGGATGCTTTGGTTTTAAATACACCAAATAAATGACAACGTCGTTATTTAGTCTTAAATAGACCAACATTTTTATTTACTTCTTCAAACTGTAAAAACGTTTCATGGTTACCTTTTGTCGTGAGTTTCATGATTTAGTAAAAAAGTTATGTGAAATCTCTTAAATTTAATTTGGTGTTGTAAGTAAATGTTTTCATTACTCCCTCTAACTATGATTTATTACCAAATACATCTACTACATATAAAAGTAGGGCAAAAGGAGTATTTTGGCATATTACTTGTATTCTTGTAGGAAAAAAAACATGGATCCTTATAGATGATACAAAGAGACTCAATTGTTCACATGTGAATAAAATTGGAGGAGGATCCATATGTAAAAAATTCTTCAACATTTAAGTCAATAAAATCATAAGAAAACGAGTATAGAAAAATATACGAAATTGAAATTGAATACTCCTTATGAGAATGTGTCATATTTATAGTCAGGTGTGGATCATTAAGATAATTAGTTAATAATATTATTGATTAACAAATTATGCCTTAGTAATTTAAATTGATGGACAAATTATACTCTTTTTAATTTATTGGTTATATGTATATCAATTATCTGATTTATGACGTATTGTGCTCATGATTGTATTTACTATGTTGTAATATTTTATGATATATTATAATTGTATTTATTATGAGAATAATATGTATATATTGTAGAATATTATGAGAATATTATATTTATTTAATATTCTTTTCCAGTTCTAATGGAGGAGAAGTACATAAGCCCACGAGCTTGGAGCTTTACAAGGTGAGCAAACAAGATTGTAAGTTTAGTTATGTACAATCAAGTTTGAACGTGTTTGTACTTTTTTGAATTATTCTTGGTTGTTATGTTTAACTTTGTTCATTTTCAACAAGACAAGCATCTTATCTATTCAGGATTCTTGTTTATCATCATCATTTTAACATTGATAAAAATGTTTATGAGGGACGTTGATGACATTTCTAGAAACGCTAAGGCAACTATTTATGTTGATAAACCTATAATAAATGAAATGTTCACCTTTTTCTATTTTAGTGTGCTCACATCGTCAACGTTTCATTTGTATGCATGTTTATCTTTGTGGGAGGGATCATATCATTAGATGAAGCTTCCTTTATCGAGGATGTGCTAAGTTGGGAAAAGTCTTCTTTGACTAGGTACTCCTTAGAAGGAATCATCGTGTTAGATAGAACTTCCTTTCCCGAGAATGCGCTAAGTAGGGATCATGAGATAAAAGTCTTCCGTGATCAGATACTTCTCAGGAGGAATCATTGCGTTATATGAAACTTATTTGCTTGAGGATGTACTAAGTAGGGATCATGAGGTAAAAGTCCTCCTTGGCCGAGTATTCCTTGGCAAGGCTCACCTCATGAAACTTCCTTCATCTAAGCTTAAATTATAACAGCAAATAATGATTGAAATAATATGATATATTTGATTGGTGCCTTGTTAAAACATTCTCGACCAAAAATCTTTTTATCTGGGTTGTTATGTAGAGTAGGATAATTACATATTTTGGTTTCTTCTTTCCTTTTGTATGGTTTCATATGAACAAAATATGTCTTCAAACTTGGCCTTAAAGGCCTCTTTATTATTTTGGTTCTCATTAAGATGATACTACATTACCTTGGTTCTTAGTCTCAACTAGGAATGACAACGGATCGTGTTGCGCAAGGATAGTGCATACCCACTACTTGACCCATAAAAAAAATATTCACCCGCTATCTGCTCATTTAAAAATACCTACGAGTATTTTAAAACCCATGTATGCCCGCAAATATTTTAAAAATATATTTTATAAATTTTTAAAATAAAATTTAAATAAAATTACAAATATATATATATATATATATATATATATATATAATATAAATTAAATTAAATATATATTAAAATTTAATTTTAATTAAATTTAATATGATAAAATATAAATTAATTTTAATTTTAATTAAATTTAACTTAATAAAATGTAAATTAAATTTTTATTTTTATTTTTTGTAGGTAGCGGATACCCGTTGGTACGAGTAGTATAATACTTACACTAGACTCATTTATAAGCGGGTATTAAAATACCCATTATCCGTGGGTAGTAAATACTCGTAGATATCAATTATCCATCACGGATTTCATCCGCAGATACTCACAGGCACAAATATTTTTGTCATCCCTAATCTCAACATTTGTAAGTGTTATTGTTCTGAATTTGAGATTTATAAAAAGGATCCATATAAAATTACATGAATGCAAACAACATGCTCTTACTATATTGTTATGTAGACAGTACATTAGTCAAGTATGCTTTTCCTTAATAAATAATGTTCAATAAGCTATCAACCGATACCAAAATCACGTCCCTTTTTTATCAGGTGAGAAATATTGCTTCAAATGGGACATTACTTTAACCCTCCTATTATAGCATAAAATTGTTGGCAAGTCTTGAAGAATGAATATTTGACGAAGCTTGAAGATTGATGAAGGTTGAGAACCTATGTGTAAATCTAATTTAGGATAGAAGTCTTAGTGTGTCTTGTAGTTACTTAATTTTTAAAATAGTGTTTAATAAGTTAAATGACTTGTGCATATAGTTATGTGAATAACATATTAAATCAATTGAAATAACAATCAATTAGTTGATTTCACTAGAGTAAGTGAAATCAATCGATTGAGAATTACTTTTAATTGATTCAATATATTAATTTACAAATTATACAATTTTTCTTTTTTTATGAGATTGTTGTTTGTGATTGATTCTATAGGTGTTGGAACTGTGATTTCTCCTTGTTGATAAGGTGTACAGAGGTTCTTGGTTAACTAGGAGAGTCAATATTTAGGTTTGATCCTTCTTGTGTATTCACCTTGTTTGTATGTTGTTCCTAGTGTGATTCTAGGTCGGAAAGATGAACTTTTGTTGTGCATTTGCTGTTTCTTGTGTGATTTAAGAAACTTGTATTGTGGGCTTTTTGTTTTCAAAAATTTAATTGTAAGAATATTGTAATTTCTTGAGTTAGTGAAATGTCAAATTCAAGTTGTCTTGATTAACTAGATGTAGATTAATTTGAGTGAATCAGTATAAAAATTTCATATGCATTAATTTAGTTTTTTTGTAGTTTATTGTTCTAAGTTGCTTTTATCAAGAAAACTAATTTGTTTGATCTTCAATAATAATCTTGGTATGATTGTATAACAATTTGATAAATCAGTACATTTGTAATTGATCTTGGTTATTAAACTAATCAAATTTGAAATCTGATTGCTAAGTGATATTACTCTATCATAATTTTAACATGCTGATTTCAAAGTTTAATAAGTTAAAATGACCGATTCAAATTTGATGCATTGTTGAATCCCGTTAAAATAAATAGTGTAATAATCTCATTCATTATAATTAGTCTTTTATTTGATACTTCAGAGGGCATGGTAAGAGTTTCATTGAACCCCATAGTGAATGTAAAATATTCTTATCAGAAAAAAAACGTGGGATCCTTCAAAGTAATATAGAGAGACTAAATCGTTGATATATGAATAAAGTCTAAGAAAGGTTCACTTATAGAAGAAAAAAAATATAAAAGTGTATATGAGATTGAAAATAAATACTACAGTAAAAATATGTTATAAGTTATTATTATTATTATTATTATTTATATTGAAATGATTTAGAAATTCTACTTTTATATGTTATCTTATTAACCATGTAAATTAATGTTAGAATTGAAATTTTATAAATATTTTATGTTGGGAGGAAAGACCTTATTAATGGGGACTTTTTAAATGTATATTTAATACAAGAATCGTAAGAGAATCCTAAACTTCAAGTTGGAGTCTTAAAAGAAATTTATATTCAAATATTTTAACGTGATATAAAAAGTCCTAAATTTAAGATCCCAGAGTTATAAAAGTTCAAAAATATTTTCCATCTTACAAAATTTTTACTTTCATTTAGCTGTAACTAAAACATTATAAAAACATAAGTATTATAGATGAGAAAAAGAAAAGTACTCATCTTAATGAGAACATAAGTATTACAAAATGCACTTCACTAAATTTCTTGTAATATCATATCATCTTAAAAAAAAAGAAATAAATATAAAACAATTACGTACTGAGGAATTGGATAGTGAAAATTAAAAAAGAAAAGAAAAGAAAAAGAAACACAAGACAAGCATGAATGGCTAAGGATTATCTGATAACTGATTGAGTAGATGGACCACCCTTATCTGCAGTTCGGTACCTTTACATACTATCTCCCATGTTTATGTTTCATCCATTCAATTTTTCCTATTCTTTTCTATTTATCATTTTAAAGTTATCACAATTAAAAATAATAATTTTTATAATATTTTTTAAAATTTTATAGTATGATCTTTATCTCTCTGATTAATAAAACTTTAATATATTTTCTACTTCTACTTCTCTTATACTCAAAATACATGTTTAAAATGTGTAAAAATTAACCAAGTAGGAGGATAAAATTGAATAATAATAATAAATAATAATATCTTGAACTTTTAAAAGACATAAGAAAAAGAATATTTATTTTATAGAGATTGATAAAAAAAAAAGATGTCATTCTAATCCTTGCTGATAAAATCTAAGATATGTTTAGATTAGAAATAAAGAGTTCAAAACATATTTCTTGAATAACGAAAAATTGAAGACTTTTTCAGCTCAAGTGAGAAGGAATGGACGTAAACACAAAAATTGAATACATATTTTATACTAACTAAAAATTAACTTAAAATCATATTCTTAACATTTTCTAGTCAAAACGTTATTTTTTATATCACGACACAAACATTTATTTAATTTTTAACGAAAAGCAAAAAAAAATGTTATAAAACAAAAATGTCTCATTTTCAAATTGGGACAGAAGATACCAATGAAAACTTAAAAAAGAAGTAAACACTAATGAAACTTATCATTTTAGTAGGCCGTAACCAAAGATAATAACCAACAATGGAAATTTCTATGCACTTATGGATTAAAATCCAGAAGCTTTATATCTTTTCATGACCACAGACCAAAGTGGACTACCAGTACCTGCGCATTTCGTAACATTGGGAATGAGCTTCCATCACATTTCCTTGCTTATTTTATTCTCATCCAAACAAAACATACATTTTGAAGGCTGAAGAAACATGCCACAAGCAAGTTAAAACTTGTACCATAGTTGCACTTTTACAGTCTTTTCTGAAATATGGTATTGGGTTGTGTTCATGGTTTATCCTAAAAGTGTATGTAGTTGACATACATGAATTTTGCAATGTTATGACCACAAGTAAATCTGTACCAGGCAGTATGTAGTCTGTAATCTGTAATTACAAAGCTCGAAGAGCAATTTTGTTTGGATAGATGCCCTGTAATTCAATTAGCAGTGCTTCTTGTAACCCACCAGATGAGTCAGGTTCTTGCTTGTATGTCAAATTATTCATTTCACCACTCACCTGTAGTAATTGTAAGAGCATAAACTTCTAACATCAGTGTTAAGAGAACAGCTTACATTGACAACATGCAACCTGGCATGTGCCTATAATGATGTTATTGAGTTCCAAAAGTGAGAAACTTGTGTTGCATTTGTCAATCTTCTATAACTCTGACAAATGCTAATTATTGACTGTCAGGTAGGCAAGGGTTGGATGTTAGAAATGGGAGAGGTTTGCCCATCTTTCTTGTTCTTCTATTTATCAAGAATGTGTCTTCGTTTGCAAGAAAAATGGTTTGAAGAGAAATACTGGATCCCCATATTTTGCAAGAACTATAACCGAGAATGAATCTTTGCCTGCTTTGATGTATCTTTGTCTTTATCTGCATGAGTCTTGATGAATTCCAAAACTAAGCTGCTCAACTTATCTTGTTGAGAAGAAAACTCATGATCAGCTCCTTCTATGATGCACAATTCATGATTAGATATGAATTTATCGAAGTCTAAAGCATCTTCTGCAGGTACAGTTTCATCCATGGATCCATGAATTGTCAACACCCTGTCTCAACAACATTAATAAAATGTTCAAAATTATAATAGTTAAACACCAGAAGCGACTGATTTTGCGATATTTTCAATGATGCATATTGTTTGATGAAATAAGAAACCCTACCTGCAATCTTGGGGAATCAATAGGCAGTCAAGATGGGTTATAGTAGAAAGGCGGTCCATTAAACTTTCTTCTGTAACACGATACATAATCTTCCCTATCATAAGAAAAAGAAAAAGTGAATCAGACTGGTTAGAGTAAATGGACAACAATTAAACTACAAGTATTGGGCAAAGACACCGTTTTAAGTAGCTTTTGGAAGCCACTGTGATTCAACATCTAATAGTTCAACTCTTTCCTTTTTTAATGTAAACCCAAAATTGTTTGTGACAGCAAAAAAATAAAGAAGCATGAATAAAATTGACAAAGATATTTTAAAAAAATAACCCCACAAATGATAAACAAATAGAACCTGAAGATTATTTACATTATGTTCTTCACCTCTTTTATTTTTTACATCTATATATCCATCTTGCTTGATCTTTTGCATAAATCTTTTGCCCAAACGACCTTCCATGCCTCTCACTAGATTGAAACGACCAGATATATTGACAACAATATGAATATCCTTATATTTTGAGGCATAAAAGAGAGCTACATTACCCTCTGCAGAAACCATAATAGTCAATGGCTTAACAAAAGGAATTCAGAATTGTGAAAGACATGTGCAGAAAATTCTGTAACATTCAGAGAACTTAAGTTTCAATTTTCAGAAACTAAATTATCCTTTCGAACTGTACAACTATGGACATGTTTGTTTGCCAATTAAAAAAGTCTAAACCTCAATTGAACTCAACTGACCAAGACACATGCTTTGAGTTTAACTGAGCTTTAGATCGTTTCAACCAAAAAACAAACATGTCATACATCTTCAGTTTAACCAATGTGATCTAGGTTCATGTTGTAAACAATATTTTCTAATCTTTAAACATTTCACCTCTAAATCGTACATCTCAAAAGCATTTTTTTGGGAATTTTCCTTCATCTTACCAATAGATCAAAAAGTTACACTTAACTCTGATAACTATTTTCCTTTCACAACTTCTTACTTGTAACATTAAATACTCAAAACTTAGAGATATATCTACACTTTTATAATTAAAAGAAGATCATATTACCACCTGAACAATGTCGTCATTTTTTTTTGTCCACGGAAATGAAAAACCAGATATAAATTAAAACTTTTTCTCTTTGCATTTTCCATGATCTCAGCATACAGTTTCAAAATATCACCTTGAAATAATTATCTCTTTTCTGTAAGGCCTACAATATTAAATCTATTCCATGCACTAAATAAACAATTCTGACAATAAAAAAACTCTAACACTGGAGAAAAATATTTCAAACTGCCACTGATGAATTCCATATGTTTGTTGTCTGTTTAGTCGATAACATCAGTTACATATGATAAGGATAATCGTAATCTAACCTTTACTATGACCAATAATTGCTGTAATTACATATTTCTGCTCACGGAAGTATTGAACTACAGCTCGCAGATCTTCAACCTCTTTGTAGTAGTTACCATATTGAAATGAACCTTCACTTTCCCTAGAAGACAATGACATGAGTTTTTAGCAAACGTAATTACAATCCAATAAACGATTTTTTTAGTGTTAGAGTTAGAACAACACGTACACAGTACACTCTAAGGTTACTTACAAGGTAGAATTTCTTTTACACTTATGTTTACAAGGTAGAATTTATTATGGCTGATGGCAAAGTGCAACTTCTAACATTGAAGAGATTAGGTTTTCCCTCCCCTCCGCACCCTTCTCCGATCAACCAGTACACACTAACAGGTATTTGTTAAGGAATTTGGCAGCACAGTTCCATTGAGGATTTCTTTTTGTCTCTCTTGTTTGTGTAATCTGACCTTTACTATGACCAACAATAAAGCATGCATATGAACCTTTACCCAACTGCTTAATCTTTTAGGGGAGATGTTTTATGACAGTAACGTGCATTATAGTCAAGGAGGATTCCTTATCCTCCCAATTCATTGCAAGCTTCTTCTCTTTATTCAATAGAATTTCTTCTTTTACGAAAAAGAGAATTCTAAGATTCATATTCCCAAAGATATGCCCAAAAGTTTTAAACCAATAATTCAGAGTGTTATCATAGGATAATACTATTAGCATTTCTCTTTAAAAATTTAAAATAATTTAATAGACAAATAAAATCATATACAAACAAATCAACCCCCCTCCTCAAATGTTTATATTCCTTATATAAATTGAAATTAACTAATTTATGGTCCATACTCCTTTGCTTAGTAGCTTACCCATTTCCAGAAAAGTCAAAGCGGAAAGCACTGACTCCATCTTTTTGCAGAGCATCAGCAAGATTCACCATGGGAATCCTTTCCTACAGATAAAACCATTCGACCGTTTAGTTCAAGATTCAAAGCTACCAGTTTCACTAAATATACAATGATGAAAAATTAAGGTCAAGTTTTCCTAAACTTCTTCCTAACAGTTCCATGAAAAGAAAAATTCTTCATAAAGAACAAATTGGCTTATATATAAAATACTTGCAAATATATTATTTTTTTCTATATCTGCTTTATTCAATTCATTCTCTTCTCCTAGCTTATGGAAAAGTATTTTATCCAAAATACCGTGATTAGATAAAAGTTAGAATAGTTATACAGTACTTTTTCCTCCTAAAACAACAAAAAATTCCCTTCTCAACTCATGCATTGAACTGCTCAATTTTGTGAGCACAAAGTTTATTAAGGGAAAAAAAATGGGATTTTGTTCCCACAAAAATGTGTGAAGAACAACAACCTTGGAAGATTGGAAGCCATGACACACGATAACAAGCGAAACTGAAGCTGAATTGTGCAAGATCCCCAAGAGATTCTCACCATGGTTGTTTCGTATGGTAACTCTCCTTTCAGCACCACGATCGCTCATTTTACCAGAGTAATTAACAGGAAATCGTAGATGATTTTCAATTCCGCGATTTTGTGATGTAAGATTGGGTGAATAATAGACATTAGGGCAAGGTGCAAACCTAATTTGATGAACGACGACGTTTGATATTTAAAAAAAAAATACAATAAGAAATCATTTGAAGCAGCTGTGTTTTCATATAAAACAAAACTTATTCACTAATTTTAATATAAAACATGCAATGAATAATTTTTTGATTCACTTTATCTTATATTTTTATAAATCAAACATGTCTTCAATGTTAATGTTAAGACATTATAGACTGCTAGATGTTATATAATATGTAAATATAATTGAAATCCTTTTTTCTTAAACCAAATTGCCCAATAAATGAGTGGTTTATGTTATTATATGAAGGAAAGAAAAAGAAAAAATATTTCAGTTTAAATTTGTTAAGATAATATATTTTTGTTTAAAATATTATTCATTTTGAAGTCTTTTTTATTTGTAAAAAGAGAACTCTAATACTTATTTGTCACTACTATATTATTCATATTTATGTAAATTCTTACTTAATTAAACATTAAAAAATTTAGCACATGAATCTTTCCCTTCACCATTCATTAGATTTTGGAACTACTCTTCCAAAATAACAACCTATAATATTTGAAAGCTTCATACTCATCTTAAAAGACATCTCATCCAAATATGATAAAAATATACTTAGACTGATGTTTATAAATACCTATTTTCAACTACTTGTGTATATTGTTTTAAATTATAAACAAGTTGATATAAAACATATTTTATATATTTTATATTAAAAATACCTAACAAATTTATCGGAACAAATATATGAAAAAAACAATATTTTATGATCAACAAATTAGTATTGGACCGAAATAACAATTTTTTTTAAAATTTAAAAGTAAGTATTATAGTTTATCATTGTCAAGACTTCTTTTAATTTCATTTGATTTCAGTTTTTTTTAACATTTTAAATTTGACCTCATATTTTTCAAGAAGTAAGCCAATAATTATTTTATAAAATCTTATAATAATAAAAATAAAATAATAATGCTATTACTACAATATTATAATATAAATAACAAATAACAAGTCACTACTAAATATACTATTTTACAAAAATAATACATAGTACAACTAAAACATGTCAACTAGGAATTATTATTATTATTCGAAACTATTAACTCCTTAAAAAAGTGAGACGAATTTAAATAGATTTAAAATACTAAGAAAAAATAAATTACAGAATTATTATTACTGTGAATTAGATAATAAAAAAATATTAAATATACTTTTGTCTCTAAAATTTTAGATTACTTTCATTTAACACAAAAACAAAAATAGAAATAGGTACATAATTTAATTTAAAAACAAGAAACAATTTTTAAAAATAGTTTGCAAAACAAAACATATTTAATTCTAGAAAATATATATTAACTTATTTTTATAAAAATGTGATAAAATTAAAAAATAATTAAAATAGTAAGAAAAAATTGTACAATCATTATTATATTGACTTTGAGAGAAGATTATATTAATTCCTTTTTAAAAAGTGACACCAAATTGAAAAGATTTAAAATAATAATACAAACCTGAAAAAAAACTCTAGAAGAGAAAAAAACTATTTAACCTTCTAGGGATTAACATTAATACTTCATTTTACCTTTAGGAAAGCAGATTATATAAAGATTAGCAGAACAACTTTTAAATGCATAATTTTAATGCAACAATAAATTACTTAAATATAGAAAAGTAGAGCGCAATTTGACTTTACAGGGCATTCAGAACAAGAAGAGAAGAAAATAAATAGAACACGGTAATGTACTGTAATTTAATTATAGTTTATGATGAAGTTCAGGTGAGAGAGTCCCAGATCGAGTAGGAGGCACATGAAAATATATTAATTTTTCATTGTACACTACAAACAATGAAAAAAAGTAAATGCATATATTTTTATCCCAACTAAAATCCGAGGTGCATTACCTGAGTTTCTCCATGTGAAAAACCTGAAAAAATTACTATAAGAACATTTTCAATCTAGTCGTACAAGTTATGTTTGCTGCTCTAGCATCTTTTTCTGCTAAGATCCCACTGGAGCACTTTTAGCCTTGGCAGCGGCAGCACTGGCTGTGGCGGCAGCACTGGCAGCGGCGGCAGCTGCAGTGGCAGCAGCGGCAGCTGCAGCAGCTGCAGCGGCAGATGCCGGGTTGCTGGATGATGGAGGCACCGTGTTGGATTGTGAACTGCTCTGAGCTTCAACTGTTTGTGGTTGCGTCTGAGTTCTAACTTCGGCAAGCAATGCCTTTATCTGAGTTCCTGTGAGAGTCTCGTGCTCCAAAAGAGCATCTGCAAGTGCATGATGCTCCTTGCTGTGAGTGGTCAGAATGGTTTTTGCATTGTTGTAAGCCTTCTCCAAAAGTTGCTTCACCTCTTTCTCAATGAGAAGCCTTGTCTCTGAGCTCATGCTCCTCCCATTATCTACGTAATCGTGACTGACTAGTCCAACTTCTTTGCCCATGCCATATTTGGTAACCATCCTCCTTGCCAAATTAGTTGCTTGCTGGAGATCAGAGGATGCACCACCAGTGACTTCATTTTCTCCGAAAATTAGTTCTTCGGCAACCCGGCCTCCCATGGCAACGTCAAGCCTGGCAAGCATCTGTTTGCGGGAAACGCTAAGCTGATCCTCATTGGGCAATTGCATAACCATGCCAAGTGCCATACCTCGGGGAACTATGGTTGCTTTGTGAACAGGGTCGGCCCCATCAGTATACATGGCAACAAGGGCATGACCTCCCTCATGATAAGCAGTGTTCTTTCGATCCTCCGCAGATACAACAGCTGACTTGCGTTCACTGCCCATCAGCATCTTGTCTTTTGCAAACTCCAAATCAGCCATTCTCACAGCTTTGGCACCATCCATTGCAGCCTTGATAGCAGCCATGTTAATCATGTTTGCAAGATCGGCCCCAGAGCACCCAGGTGTTCCTCGAGCAAGGACCATTAGATCAACATCGTCAGCCTTCAAAACCTGTATTTGATTGGGGAGGCAAAAATCCAGCAAAACAAGTATAAGTAATGCTGATCATAGTTACACAAGTAATGGATATAATATCTAAACTTCAAAATAAATGGGTGTGTGTGGGCTCATACTCGAGCATCCAATTGATAGCCAATCATAGCCCAAAAAAAAAAAGCATTAAACAGAAATGTTTAGTACCAATACAATGAGAGCACTAACCATGTACTTCTGAGAAAAGGAATCATGCCGTCTAATCCAATCTACCAAATAAAGAGGACCAGATGTTTAGAAAGGCTATTCTAGAAAATATAGGCCTTAGTTTCAATGATTACACCAGTTTTAAACCCCGCATTGTTAGGACTTAGTTTGACTAATTTACATTTGATAGTTTCTGCAGGGAATATATGCAGTTTTATTTGTATTTGTGTCTGTTTTTTAATTTCTTTTGGGAGGAGGGCAGAAAGTTGTCAGGTTTGGTAATTTTGTGGACACATAATTTCTCTATAATTCCTGAGCTCTGGGACAGCAAAAATCCTATAATTTCTGTAATGTACTGTGATTTAATCACAATTTGATGCTTTTCAACTAGGTGTTCTATCAGGTTAAAGGAAGGAATTCTTGTAACCACCAAAATGTAAAATTCCGATATATGCAACCGAGGCTGGATAACTGGAAGGAGAAATTCGAATGGCTATAAGCCAGGCTTGTGCCAGGTTTGATGTGGAGGAGAAATTGGCAAAAATGGATGCGCATACAGGGCAGGCGAAGGAAAATTCTAAGATGAGTAAGGCAGTTCGTCACACTGAGAAGGGAAAGGATCATGTTCAAGCAACCATGACATGGATGGTATCAATCAAATTGCAGTTAAGGTGGAACTGCCTTCATTTGACGGAGATGATCCTATTGGGTGGATTACTAAGGGAAGTAATTTATTTTGAAGTTCAAATACTAGTGGAGAAGTAAAACTAAATTAGAAAAGTATGGGATAAACTTTAGATGGTAGAAGTTGAAGAGGGAAATGGCAATATGGTTTGGGGGGCAATAATATGAAAGTACTTTCCAAAACCTGGCTGAAATGAAGCAAGAGGGCCATGTGGAAGAATTTATAATTTATAAAATAATTTGAGTTTTTATCATCACAAGTTCAGCGTTTACCCATAGGAACAACTTTTTGGATTATCTTTAGGGTGGTTTGCAAAATTAGATGCAATGCAACTCTTCAACTCAACAATAATTCAAGCCATGCCGCTTGCGCACATCTAGAGGGAAAGAAATGTACTTCGTCAGAATGGCAGTGTTTCAAGGTTGGAGTGAGAAAATAGGGTCTTCTGGCAGTGTTTCAAGGTCATCAGAATGGCTGTTTGGCTCATGACGAAATGCAGGATCAATAAATAATAGAAGTCACCTACAGTCTGATACGCTGGACAAAATCATTTCAGTCTAGGGCTAAACATAACAAGCACAATCTGGCAAAAATAAAGGACACTTCATCTGTTGGCTTCCCCAGCGATATGAACAAAGGTTAAGCAGAAAAAAAATAAAGGTTGGAGACATTTAACATACCAATAGTTGATGGAAAGAAAAGGTAGAAGATTCTGTTTTAGAATGCGTAACTTAATTCTATAAAATCATTAGGATGAGGACCATCCAAGCTTTATAAAGACTGCATTGGGCCTACCACATATCTCTAGAAAATGTTGGATCAATCACTTGAGAGAGTCAACATTTCAATGGCTACATTCTTCAATGCTTCGATCGACGTCCTTGGCCAACTCCTTTTACAGGTAGTCCATACCAATAAACCCTGATAGGCCACGATTAAGGTGAGCACTGAGCACAATTAGGAAACTTTCTATAACACCCATTCACACCTAGGCTATAGGCCTATGGCACTATAATGCAGGACCCTAACAATGGATCTAAGAACTAGACATTGGAAATCAACTTTGATAGGCTGTAATTAGGGTGGGCTAGGGGTTACAACAGTAAAGGTAAACACACCCTCGAACTCAGATTATAGGCCTAGAACGTGGAAGTGCTGGTGACCTAACAATCAATCTAGGATAAACTTTGAGACTGGTTCGGACTTAGGATCGAACTTAATCCCACTAAACTGACAGGGAAGGTGAGGACAACTGATAAGTACCCAAGAACTTGGGGAACCCACTCATCAAAAGCTGACTATTAAAGTAGGAGAACATAACACTTAAATACTCCACTGAGAACCCATACTACTCAATATGGGACTTGGATACCCCATGGTACCCCATAATATCTTGGCAGCTTTCACTCTACAACACTTAGTAGTGATACTTCACTCAACTCCCTCATTGGTCAGAACCCTTTGTAGGCAGCCGTTCCTGAGACATTTACAACCAGCTCCAATACCATTGATAAGTACCCAAACACTAGGGGAACTTACTGTTAGCAAAATGATGAAGATGAAGTTTTGATGATGTCCAAATCAAGTCAAGAAATACCAAGTTTCAAGAAGATCCTTTGAAGACTTGTATTATTATAGAAAGCTTTTGTAATAATTGTAAGTAAGTGTTTAGGACTTAGACTCTTAGTAGTTTTTGGTTCCATATACTTTCATATTTCAAATTTGATGTTTTTAAGTAAAAAACGTACTGTATTAATCGATTAAATCTAGTGATAATCGATTAATTCGATAGGAGCTGAAAAACTCTAACTAGCTCTGTAATAATGATTAAAACTTGCTTTAATCGATTAGCTAATTGATTAAAATGTGGATTAATCGATTAAAGGTAACCGTTGGAGTTTTCTAGCCGTTAAAACTAGCCGTTGTACTCGTTTTAATCGATTAATAATAATATTAATTGATTAAAAGCGTTAAATGGCTGGAAACAAAGAACTTTACTTGGGTCTATAAATAGGCTCTCATTTTCCATCAACAGCAACTCTTCCCTTGTGCTCTAGTACTCAGAAATCATTGAGAATTGAGTGATCGTGCTCAGCTAAAGAAACCCTTGTTTGTGGAGCTGTTGAAGTGCTATTGCGGTGACAGAGGAATAGTTGGTTCAGCCTTGGTGCATCTAAGGAAGTGCTTGGAAGAGAAAGTCATCCTTCGTGAAGTATTAGAAGGAGGTGTTTCATCCTTTGTGAAGACTCAAAGGAGGTGCATGTTCATCTTGTGGTATCAAGAGAGGTGGTTTCTAAACTTTTACAAATTGTTTCTTTGTGATTGTAATTTGTAATTGTTTTGTGAATAGTGAACTGTTTATCTTGATCTGAGATATGCGACTGGATGTAAGATTGGTAAGATCCGAACCAGTATAAAATTATCTGTGCAAATTTCTCTCAACCTTACTCTTTTATTTATCATTAATATTTGCTTGGTAAGTTAAATTGAGTAGAAATTTTAAAAGGCACACATTATTATTAAAAACCAATTCACCCCTCTCTTGGTTTGTTATTCCACGCTAATCATTCCGTTGCAGCCGCTCTGACACTTACACACAAAGTTTGGGTATTCAGAGGGGAAAACAAAACACTTAAATACTCCACCAAGTATCCCATACTAATCAATGTAGAACTTGGGCACCCCATAATACATAAGTTCCTATCACCTACCTTCCCAAATTGACTTGGCTATGTGCCTACTTTCTATAAAATCTCAATCTTGTTAGAGTCGATAACCCAAGGAGTGCACCCTACGCCTCTTTGATCATCCCTTGCATTGATAATCTTTTCCAAGACATTGGCAACTAACTTTGATAAATAGTAATCAAGGTAAGCTAGTGGTGTCTACAATTCAGGCAACTTTCCAATATGAAGCTTCATGTAAGGAAAAAATTTCATCCATGGTGCCAATTTTTCTATAAAAATTTCCACAATTTCATCACTAACATCTTTACTTCTACTTTGGAACTCGTGGTAGATAAAACAAATAAGTTCAGAGTAAGACTAGGAGATGGCATAGAGTTGTGACAAAAGAGTCGAGTGGGTTTGTTGATGAAGTAGGATAGCAATGGATATTTTAACAATGCGTATGAGTTGGATTTGGAAGTAGATGAGTTTAGGGTTGCATGGCTGTAGACATTAGGAAAGGAGTTAGTTGACTGGAAGGAAATATCCATGATAATTAACCATGATACTTGAGTAAAATTTATTATTAACAAGGGCAGGTGGAATCGTGGAAAGAGATTGGAAAACAGAAATTTAGACAGAACCTGTGAGATGATTGGAAGGAAATATCCATGATAATTCACCATGGCACTTGAGCAAAATTTATTAACAAGGGCAGGTTGCACGGTGAAAACAGTTTTGGAGAACATAAATTTAGAGACAGAACCTGTAGGTTATAATAATATTGTGGGGAGTCCTACAAGGAAGATTGGGTGATTTCTATGGGCTAAAGACGTGTAGTCAAATGCTGCAGAAATCAGTCACTTAATAGCAAATCAAAAACATTGAGTTGTCTAAAGTATTAGAGCATTTTCTTTAGTTTCCAACAATTTAGTGCACTGAATTACCTCAACCAAAGGGCAAACCAGTTAGTGCTCTTTCATATCATAGTAGTCAATCCTTGATATTGGTAGAGTACACAACCCCCCAAAAAAGGGATGGCAGCATGAACCGCAATTCTAATATTTTTTATTTATATCAGTGCGTAAGTGGATATATAAATGCTTAAAAAGAGCAAGAATCAAGCATTATAAAAAAAATACATTCTTAAAAAGTGACCTTTAAATCTAACTCAATCTCACAAAATTAGTTAATAAGATGAGATTGACATCAACCTATATATTATAACTTGACCATATTTCTGGTAGATGTGAGACCTCTAAAACACTCTCACACTATCCGTTTGTACTAGATTTCAGGTGATGTATGGATGAGCACCCCCCATACTATTATTTGCTTTATCGGCTGAAAAAGAAAAGTGAAGATTGTAGCCAAAGAGTTACAAGAACATGATGTAGCACTTAATAGATACAACAGAAGTTAGTAAGTGAGAGAGTTAGTTAGCCGGTTGGGGGCTGAGATAATCAGAGAATGCATGTTGCCAATAAATAAGAAAAGGAGATTTTATCTGGTAAGTTGTCAGAGAATTGGGGAGATTGGGTATTGAGAGGTGTAGACCATTGAAGTTCTGCAAGTTAGGCACTTTTCTTTCCATAATTATGATCCAATTTCAGTGACACTAAGCATAAGTGTCATCCAGCTAAGGCCCAAGATCAAATGGAACAATATGCCAAAAAATGGAGGAAGGGATGACAAATTTCTATAGTGACTGGGTTTTCTTGAAATTAAGGCTAAATAGACAGCAATCTATGTAACCAGATCAACTAAAAGTTAGCTCCTCATTTCTACGGACCATTTCAAATTAAAGTACAGATAAGTTTGGGCAGGCTTCTTACTTCATCAAACACAAGAAGTTAATCCAGGACAAATCTTTGACAGCAGAGAAGTAATGGAGAAAAGACTCAAATCAAGGAATATTTTGGGCAATGAAAAGCTTTAGCAATAGAGAATGCAACTTGGGAACGGAACACCAATAGGTTTTGCAGCAGCAGTTTCCAACTTTTCTTTTGCTGAACGCAAGGATTCCTCTTAGCCAAAAGCAATAAAACTAATTCCCTAAGGCATAGAGATCACTGAAGTGGATTTTGCCTCCCCTGACAAATTAAAGTCCGTATGAAAATTTCTGAAGGAAGGTCATGATAAGGTGCCAGAGACCACCCAGAGACTATTTAGAAAGCCCATCTAAGAAATATAGGAATCAGTTGGAAAAATCATCGCTTTTTTTTTTTTAATATATATTATTTTTGTCAGCTGTTGACTCAAACACAACCTATCCCACCCTCTGCCTTCAACTTTGACCACCAATCCAACCTTATATCCCAAATCACCAAAGTTAATAACTTCCACTTTAGGACTAACCTGTATTAACAGGTGCAGCTTTAATAACTGTCATTTGACAGTTCTAGAGGAAATTGGAGGGCACAGGATGTTAGGGAAAGTTATGTGCTTGGTAGTTTTCTGGAGGGAGCCTCTGAAGGAGTTTATCAACATTAGGACAGAGAAATTGATGTACCATCCGTAATCTGGTGTGATTTAATCCTACTTTTATCCTGTTCAAATTGGCATTCTACAACGTTCTTTGCAAGGGATAAAACCATACCTTTGACATGTGTGATTCCAAAATCTGCTGTCTTCCTCTTACGTCCGGATAGGGAACATCAACATTGCGGTCAAACCGCCCAGGTCTCACCAATGCATCATCCAATGATTCTGGAAAATTAGTTGCTCCAATCACAATTATTCCCTCATTTTGCTTGAATCCATCTAGCTCAACCAATAACTGATTTAATGTCATCTTCATGTACATTTGGTCCTTTGGATTACGGCTTCCTCCAATAGCATCAATCTCATCAATGAATATTATACAAGGTGCTCGTTTCCTAGCAGCAGCAAAAAGATCTCTCACCCTTCGTGCACCAACACCAACATACATCTCTTCAAATTCACTTCCACTGCTGGAGAAGAATGGAACCCCAGCCTCACCAGCAATAGCTCTAGCCAACATTGTTTTTCCAGTACCAGGTGGACCAACAAGCAAAACTCCTTTGGGAAGCTTACCACCAAGACGAGTAAACCGCTGTCACAAGGGAAACAAAGCACAATTATAAATATGATAAGGAAATGTACAGGCTGTTATATGTTATCAGGAAATAAGCATATAAAAATATAACAGAAGAGTATGAAAAAGGGATGTGGCATCAAACAGAATCAAACATAACTCAGGTATTGACTAACAAATAGCCCATTTAAGTAGTTATCTTATATACGTCACCAAATTTTAGATTGCCAAATGAAATCATCAGTTGATCAACACCAATCGAAGTAGAAATAACTACTAAGAATATTTAAAGAGTATTGTTCTATTGGTGTTAGACAAGGTATCATCCTGAAGTAATAATTCCCAAATCCAGTTACCATATTTTCTCCAGCACAAACTGTGCTAAATATATTGATGCTTGATAGGCATACCATAAGCTATGGAGCCAAGGTACCTACCAACTGAATAGTGACACAAAAGCATCTTTCAAAAAGAAACATACTATAAGACTTGAATTTGGATGTATTGGAAAAATCAGTGACTGTATTCTCAGCTGATGTATGTGTATACATAAAAAAGGAGTATCAGTATATCTGAAAGAGGAAGGTTACAGCCTATATTCCTTAAACTAAAGATAGATTCACCCAAAAACAGCTTTATGTATGTTGTACACTACTATAACAATCGTAATTTTAACAGTTAGGATTACATCCAAGTTATTTGAGTTTTAGACATTATTATCCAAAGAGATCCAATTTAGTCACAAGTTTACTTGAATTGTCATAGGATACTGGGTGATAGGATAGAAGGCAGGGGAGCCTAACAGTAGGAGACAGGAGGAAGCAAGCCAAGCGGTGGAAGGTAGTGAAGAGCTGGAGCCAATCAGTTGGAGTGACTATCCTAACTGGGACAACAGTTAGGATGAGCGGGAAATAATTATAGTAAATAAGGCCATATCCTAGGGAAATATTCAGTATAAGTTAATTATAGTAAATAGAATTATATCCTAGGAAAATATTTAGTATAAGTTAATTATAGTAAATAGAGCTATATCATAGGGAAATATTCAGTAGAAGTTAATTATAGTAAATATAATTATATTATAGGGAAACAATTAGTATAAATAAAGGGAGAGTCTATTGTTAGGGTTATGCTTTTGATTATTGAGTTTGTTGACAAGCGGCTATGCTCTTGTGAGGGAGGTTATGCTCCCAATTACCCTTGTTTACTTTGTTTATTCAGATATTACCATCAATAAAAGAGATTTATTCGTTTATTATCATTCGTTCATTGTTCTGTTACGTGTTGTGAGTGTGTGAGAGGTTATCTGGTTAGGTTTCGTACTCAGGTACGTAACAAATTGAATGCCCCATGTACAGACTAGGTACTTTAATTGAATGACCCATTTACAGACTAGGAGCTAGATTTCTTTACATGGCCTTAAATCAATAATCACGTGATGTGATCAACAAAAAGACACAAGGACAGGACATGTAATGATGAATATAGGTTAAATTATTAGAAATTATATTAATTATATTATATCTACATACACAATACCAGTTCAAGTGTTCAAGCATGGTTGCATAGTGCCTGAAATGTATGCAACAGGAAGCATGAATTTATGGCAAAAAATCTACCTTAGGATCTCGAAGATAATGAACAATTTCTTCCAGCTCAGCCTTTGCCTCATCAACACCTTTTACATCACTAAATTTTGTGCTTGTTTCCATGATGGGTTGCACTTCTTCATTTATACCAAGTCCTGCAAAATAGGTAAATGCAAACCAGAAAACATGTCTTCTAAGATCAGATTAAAAAAACTATATGAAAAGACAATACTGAATAGGAAATACCTTTACTAATTCCTTTATCTTCAACGAGTGCTCCTATACCAGAAATTACGAAAAAGGCCACCGCAATGGTCCTGAGCGTACGCCATAACTGATCTTTTATATTACCACCTTCTCTAGCCACCATATGGATTGGATTACTAGCAGTTCCAATAATATTGCCTGAAAACTCATATCATCTCTGGTCACAATTTATGGTCTAAAAGATCATGCTAGAGAAAAAAATATCTAAAATACCAATGTAGTATGATTAATATCACTTTAGACAAGTATTAATTGAAGTGCCAATTTTTGTCAGCTGAATATATTTTCTGTCTTGCATCAATTTGTTATCAGACTTGTTCAAGGACTTCATCAAAGGCCAAAAGATGCATTACATTCCTGATACTAAATTTAGTCACAGAGAATAATAAGATTCTTTATGAATCTGATTAAGTGTACAAGACATTAATTGAACCTTTTAATCCCTGGAAAAGATTATTGGCCCGTTAGAAATATAAGAGATATTATCTAATTTTTCTAACAAGTACAGAGGATAAAGTATTTGCAGGCTTGAGAAATACATATAAGTATGGAAGGTTTAACCAATTGATTCTGTTACTTCAGTAATATATCAACACCTTACTCATTCAAGAATTTCAGTTAAATGAGACAAGATATCAAAGTACAACTTTAAAAAAGTGTGCATGTGTCTGTGATGGGGGAGGAGAGACTACACAGAATGCTTGAGTCTTTAACATCAAATTCTAGCAGTCAGTACATGAAGAATTCTAAGAGAAATGGGAAAAAAATAAAAAATCCTAGACCGGGAACTTTTTACTTAATACAACCTGGAAAAATACTCCCGTTTCACGGATTAGTGGATACCCCAGCTTTCTAATAAAAGTAGTAACACCTTTTGTTTGTAAAAAAATTGAAGTCAGGAAAACAACTGCTTGGTCAGTGAATTCTAGCAGATACAATTTGACCATTTCCACACAAAATATAGTACCCTGAAAAGAAAGCAGAACCACAAAAACCACATATGGTTGTTTGCTAGGCAAAGACCTTATATATTTGAATAATGAATAAAATTAAAAGGTCAGTCAACAAGTATTGACAAATATAGGGTAATCAAGCACACAAATATGAGCAGTTCAACCCAAATAAGCACCTCTCCTTGATGTCTTCAGTAATTCACTTTCGTCAAGCCTATCATCTTTCACCAACGCTTTCACGTCAAGCCTATCAACTTTCACCAACGCTTTCACGTATTCAGAAAGAGCTGAGGAACTATTACGCAAAGATGGTTGGCTTTCAAATACTCTAATCACAGCCTCAGGATCATTCTGATGGTTAAGTTCTTTGAGATAAGCAACTTCAGCAGCTTCATCTGCATCACGCGCTCGACGAGCTACACTGCCAAGGTAGCTAGACTGAAATCTCTCTTGTGCACCCAAAAGTCTAAACCCTACATAATTTTCAAAGTAAAGAAAAAAAAGCTAAATGCCAAACGGAACACAATATCCAAGTACTTGGAACATGGACGTACACTGAAAGTAAAAAGGCATGCATAATTTCACAAAAAAACAATTCATCCCCACCTCCAAAGAAAAAAGGAGAGAAAGATAAAATAATCCCACAACACAAAAAATTGTTGAATGTTAATTCCCAAAACAACATAATTAGGGAATGAAATAAAGCTATATTAAGAAAAGAAAAACTTTTAACTTATTTAAGCAAATAACTAGAAGTTAATTATAAGAATAATGCATGGTCTAGGAGGAAGAGATCTATACCTGGACGATGTCCAAACTTATTGACAGAAAAATAGCTTGCAGCAAATACACTTTGAATTTGTCCAAATTTGGATTGTCGTCTTGCAACCTGTAAAAATAAGTTATGAAAGTAGCTAAATCATTAAATAAATCCAAGATACAAAACCACGTATGCCAACTAGTATTGTGTAAAAACTAGCAACATAGCAATAATGCACACAACATGGACAATGAACACAAGTTTAAGTTCTCATATTTCCTAGTGTCTTACACTTATTTTTTGGTGTAAATGAAGGGGATTGAAAGTATAACCACAAGCAAATTATGAAAAGTTTGACCACTAATAAAAACACTATAAGATGAACAATAGTAAGTTAAAGACCAGCTGTGCAAACCCGATACTTGGAGCCTCCACAGGATATTCATTCATAAGTCACAGAGCCAAAATCTCCATACACACAAATTACCATATAACCCAACAGGCAGAAATCGACACGGATGCAATCTTCACTGCTCCTAGAAATTCTCAAAACAGAGACAGCCATTTGTTATGAGGCCTACAATGACTTGGGGGGAAAAATATGCCATTTCCCCTATAGCAGAAAGGTTTAAATTATCTTATCCTGAATCAAAACTAGAAGAAACCCCTTAGACCCATTATCCATTAAACTAAAAAGAATCTAGAAAGCGGGTGAAGGAGAAAAGGGCACAAAAATCAACAAGCCAATCCTATAAATTATCAAAATTAGGGTTTCAGCAAAGAATAAAAAACAAGAAATCGATTTGGATTGAGGTACAGGAGTCAACTTACCTGCGATATCAAAAGCCTCAAAGCCATGCTCGCGTGATCGAGCTATCTCAATTGAATCACGAAATTGTTGCAAATGGCAATGATCCTTCTTAAGGTTGGTATTCGTTGGACATGCTACAAAGAACAATTTTTTTTTTCTTTTTGATAGATACTTGAATGAATAATGGATTTTTTCTTAGAAAAATAACTTATAATTGGGCTGTGTAGTCATATAGGTTTAATAAACTGGTAATATTAAATATGAGAAAGATTTCTGTTTTCTCACTTAATTTTTTTTTTCTATGTACTTTGTTTTTAATGTTTGTATTTATTTTATTCATCACATATTTATGTGATTAAAAAGTCGATAGATTAATAACATAGGATTTAAATAAAATAAAAGTCGTGTTATTTGAAAAGACTAAAAATCAATAATCAACGAAAAAATAATAATGGAAAATAAATAAAACGGTTATACAGGAAGTAAAAAACATACAGACTAAATTATATTTTTTCGATATTAACAAAAGATATATCTTTATTTATTAAAAATAAGTGTATATTAACAAAAGAAATATCTTTATTTATTAAAAATAAGTGTAGAGATCACACCACACAATCCATTGATTATTCCACGGTATTGAAATTATATATTATCTAATCAATAAAAAAGCACCATAAAAAAGTAAAATAAAATTTTTTGTAAAGTGTGAATTTATATAATAACTTGGAAGACTTAATTAATAATTTAGTTAAAATATGTAAGTTTTTTATTCATTTAGTTTATATATATTTTCTACACAATTGAGTTTTTATTTTATTTTTAATAAAATACTTATTTAATTTCTTGCTTTTGTAAAAAGAAAAATTCAATGTGAGATATTCTATATTGGAGGTAATGTTAGAAGTGGACTTTAAGCCTTACTCAGAAACTTTCAACACACTCCCTTCACGCTGAGGTATAAACATCTCGTGCGTGGATGTGGAACTTCCAACCATTAATACTATTTAAAAGTGTCACACATCAATGTGTTAGTTTGTCATATATCAAATATGAATTATCTTTTATAAAAAAGATGACACTTCTCAAAATTATAGGTTTCAAAATAAAAAATAGGTTTAATAGCCAATTTAGTCCTCACTTTCGTTGAAAAATCTCAATTTAGTCCCTCATTATAAAAGTGTTTTGAATTAGTCCTAACTTTTAAAATAGTGGGTCAGATTGGTCCTTTCTGTTAAATATAAGTTAACAAAATTAATGGATGATGATGTGACACAACTTAAAGCTAACGAGGGACCAATCTAACACATCAGCTTTAAGCTGTGTCACATCATCATCCATTAATTTCGTTAACTTATATTTAACGAAAGGGACCAATCTGACCCACTATTTTAAAAGTTAGGACTAATGTAAAACACTTTTATAACGAGGGACTAAATTGAGATTTTTCAACCAAAGTGGGGACTAAATTGGCTATTAAACCTAAAAAATATCTAGATTTTGAGACATGATATTTTTAATTTATATTAAAATTTACCTAACACAAGAGACATAATGAGTATTTTTATAAAAATATGACCTAAATACATAGACAAGATTACTAATTAAATTTAACTTATAATATTCTTAGTATTAGAATTGAGATGAAATATGGATATTTTATTATTTAAGTATAAAGGTTATGAATAATTTTTTTAATTGTGCAAACTTTATTAAAAAAGGACTATTTTTTAAAATATTTTTTCTTTAAATTTTTTAACTTTTCTCTAAATTTATTAAAATTATAATTATTCTTTTGTACTTTATAGCCCATAGGAGTTCTAGTAGAGAACATAATAATTATGATTATAATTTTTCTCACTAAGTTATTTGTTGTCATTTTTTCTTTAATTAGTTTAGAAACTTTTATGTATATGGGAGTTATGAGTTTTGCATGTGGTTCTTTTAAGGTTAAAAAAAATCATGTTAGTCAAATATCATCAAGGAATATTGAGATCATTTATTCAAATCTTTCTATGTACAAATTTAGTTTTCTTAAGAGTAGTAGAGTTTGGAACTTAAGTTTGAGAAAAACAAACTTTAATTGACAAGAAAAACTTTTATGACTTCGGTAGTTCCTTGAGACAATTTTTTCTCATTTGTTTGTTTTTATTTTAATTAATTTAAATATGTGTAAAACCTTAAAAAATGGTAGGGCATGTTAAAAGACTAACCTTGTGTGGTAACTTTGATGGTTGTCAACTGTTCCACCACACAAAGGCCAGAACATGGTATAAGTCGACATTCATTGTGTATCCGGATGGTCAAGTCTAAGTCTGTTGCATGTTTAGGATGAATGTTTATATTGTGTGAAGTGTAAAACATGTTGTAATGCTATTTTATTATGATAAAATGTTTTACCACTAGCTTATCCTTGAATTTTTGTGTTGTCTTTCTTTGTGTTGCTTTCTCTTTTACGATGATCACCTAAATGGTGTGAGCTTAGAAAGACATTCTTTTCAGTCGTTCTAGTGAGAGGTGATTATTTATAATTTGTTATTGAGTCAATTAGGACTTGTTCAAATGGTTAGGTTGTAGAAATTTAGTGTAAAGGGTGAAAATTTGAGTTTAGGTGCTTTTGGAGTGTCAAAAATAGTTTAATGCACTAGTCTTGAGTCTAATGATCAAATGGATGCTTACTTATACTTATAATTGTGTTTTCCCATCAATTCTAATGTTTAGAGAATTCCTTTGATCAATAAAACAAGTTAGAAGTGCATCAAAAGTCAATTTTGAAATGATTCTGTTATCATATATGTAATGTAACATTTTAATAGTTTTATATTATTAAAATGAGATGTTATTGTTATTAAAAATGAAAAATGATGAATGAATAACATGTACATTAATAATAATAATATATGAATTTTAACTTATTCAAATGTAAATGTTATTAAATGTGACGAGATAAATGAATGAAATGTAAAAAAAAACAAAGAGTACGGTGACTATCATATTTATTTTTAGGAAGGATGTACTATGTTATAATATTTAAATTATATATTAAATTTAAATTTTGAAAAAGATGATTTGACTTTAGTAATATTGAATTCATATAAAAAAATATATTAAATGATGAGAATTGAAGGAAATTGTTTTTTATAATTTCCTTCACATAAAATATTTAAAACTTTAAATTTCATATGTCTAAAAAAACAATATTCTAATTCTTTTACATTTTAAAAAAATTTCCAAAACTCATTAGTATTTATCAAAGTTCTTACTTTGGAAAATTTAATATTAATTTTTCTTTTTTGGAGGATTTAAACTCTTTCATTTTTAATGTCAACTCAAAAGTGTTAATGAAAAAAGAAAAACAAGATTCATGAATTAAATTGACTAAGACAAGAAAAAAACTACAAATGTAAGAAGATTATTTACATTTTGTTGTTCACCTCTTTTACTTTTTAAATCTATATATCCATCTTGTTTGATCCTTTATATAAAATTTTGCTCAAACTACCAAATATATTTACAACGATACAAATAGCCTCATGTTTTGAAATATATTGTTTTAACTGGTAAAGAAGTTGATATACTTTTCCCCCTTATATTTCTGTCGTAAAAGTTCCTTCCATATTTGTTCAAACAAATCCACAAATGACCAAAATCTATGATCCAACAAATAAGCCTTGCAATTTATTGTCATCAAACCAAATTGATCTTTCTTGAAAATTAACAGTAAAACTTTATTTTAGCTTTAGGAAAACAGAATATTAAGAGATAAGTAGTAGCAGAACAACTTTTTACATGCATAAGTTTAATATAATAATGAATTACTTAAATTTAGAAAAGCATAATGCAAAGTGTCTTTACAGGGCATTCAGAGGAAGGTGAAGAGAACAAAGAATTGAGCAAGGTAATAATGTGTTATAATTTATAGTCTCTGATAAAGACCACGTGAGAGAGTACCAGATTCAGTAGGAGGTACCTGATAATCTCTTTTTTTTTTTTTCATTGTACCCTACAAAGAATGAGAAAAGTAAGTGCATATACTTTTACGTCACCTAGAATCTGAGGTTCATGAGCTGAGCTCCTCCGTGTGAAAAACCTGAAAAAATTACTATAAGAACATTTTCAATCAACTAGTACTACTTATGTTTGCTGCTCCAGCATCTTGTTCTGCTAAGATCCCACTGGAGCACTTTTAGCCTTGGCAGCTGGATGATGGAGGCACCGTGTTGGATTGTGAACTGCTCTGAGCTTCAACTGTTTGTGGCTGCTGCTGTTGCTCCATCTGAGCTCTAACTTCGGCAAGCAATGTCTTTATCTGAGTTCCTGTGAGGGTCTCGTGCTCCAAAAGAGCATGTGCAAGTGCATGAAACTCCTTGTTGTGAGTGGTCAAAATGGTTTTTGCATTGGTGTAAGCTCCCGCCACGAGTTGCTTCACCTCTTTCTCAACGAGAAGCCTTGTCTCTGAGCTCATGCTCCTCCCACTATCATTGTATTCGTGAGTGACTGGTCCAACCTCATTGCCCATGCCATATTTGGTAACCATCCTCCTTGCCCACCTAGTTGCTTTTCTGAGCTCATAGGATACACTAGAAGAGACTTCTCCGAAAATTAGCTCTTCAGCTGCCCAGCCTGCCATGCAAACATCTATCCTGGCAAGAATTTCTTTACGGGAAACGCTCTGCTTATCCTCATCGGGCAATTGCATAACCCTGCCAAGAGACGTAGCGTTGGGAACTATAGTTGCTTTGTGAACAGGGTCGGCCCCATCAGTATAAATGGCAACAAGGGCACGACCACCCTCACGGAAAGCAGTGAGCTTTCGTGTCGCCTCAGATACAACAGTTGACTTGAATTCACTGCCCATCAGTATCTTGTCTTTTGAATGCTCTAAATCAGCCATTGTCACAGCTTTAGAATCATTCATTGCAGCCCTGATAGCAGCCATGTTAATCAAGTTTGCAAGGTCAGCACCAGAGAACCCAGGTGTTCCTCGAGCAAGGATCATTAGATCAACATCAGCATCTTTTACAACCTGTATTTTATTGGAGATTAAAATCCAGACAAACAAGTTCGTAATGCTGATCAGAGTTATACATGTAATGGATGTAAAAAATGTAAACTTCAAAATAAATGGGTGTGAGCCAGTATCCAATTGATAGCCACTCATTGCCCAAAAAGAAAGCATAAAACGCAATGTTTA